CCTCCTCGACCCATTGTAGGTAAGAAAACACCCTCCTCGACCCATTGTAGGTAAGAAACCTCTTATATGTGGGCAAGAATGGAAGTAGAGTCATTTTCATCCGTCTGTGAAACATTTACTACTAGTCAGTGTTTAATAGTAACTATTAGGGTGTAGTAGGCTACCAAAAGGCAAAATCAAAACCGTTTTTGCCTAATTTGTTTGTCGCGTGTCATAAGTTCCGGGGTATTCCGGCGGTGTTCCGTGTTTTACAGACACCCTAAACTATTGGTAGCTAGGGGATAATAGAACTCTAGTATATAATAGTACAATTCCTATTTCACAGGCGGATGAAAATGACTCTTAGGCCCTGTKTACAAGAGATAGGGTGACGCTAGGTGTAAAAGCCTTTTGTTCTCAATCCTCCAGGGAGAAAGAAAACAAAGGAGTTAGCCCTACCACGTAGGGGCACCGTAAAGTGTGACTTGAACAAAATCAAAAGTATTTGACACGTTAAAAATACTATCAAGAATGTGTGAATTCACCTTCTTTAGATGTTRTAGTGGAACCCCGGCCGACCAAAATCTTAACGTTACCCTGTAGAGAAGACTGACTTTCAARACCGATGATGGCATGAATTTTACTTCATGTTAAAACATGATATRTCTGTGAACTCATGCACCCTGTTTCCAGCTAATGCCACTTTACAGCTGTTGACTTGCTGAATTACTTATAACCATCGCCTACATTCTTGAGTTCGAAAAGTGCTATTAGCCTGTTAAGCACTCTAAGAGCTATAAATAAACTGGTCATCTACTTTATAGAAAATTTGAAACGAGTGTTCGATTTTCAACTTTTGTTTGCAACTCGTCACYAGGTGATTAGGTGRAAATTTAATACAAGGATTACCATGGCAACGCTGTCCTATGAGCGGAATTGACATTTGTGACCATGGCAACYRTGTCCAATACCAAAGCACTGGCTACCTATACTTAAAGGGGAGGGAAGGCATGCAATATTTCCAAATAGACGTATATTTAGSTTAAAAAACGATAAACGATAAAGTCTCCTTCATAATTGTTGACATATCAAGCTAACGATAACTGATTCTCTAGTCATTGAACGATAACATGATGCATAAGTTATTGCGTAACAGCAAACTCGTACTGCGAATCAGCGCCGAAAAACGTAAGACTCGGGAGCAACGTAATTTTCTGCGAATTTTGATTGGTTTTTGAAATAGAAACAAATGCTGCCGGAACTGAAATTACACCAAGGAAAAACATGCAAATTCATGTTTTATCTCGACATATTAYCTTAACCGTAATTAAATTTAGACGCGACGAACTGTCGCGCCAACTGAGTTAACTGACCAAYCGTCGCGATCGGAAAACATTTACCAGTTTGATAACGAGTCATACGCGATATGTTTGTCGACGGCGCTGGCCAAGAAAAACGAAGGCTTGAGATACGAGATTGGCGTAACAATGAAAATACCACGTGATCAGCATTATTACTAGTGGAAACTGGTGTTGATAACTTTGCTTAAATGCCCTTAAATGATTTATCTAATCACATTGGAGCCTAAATTCCCGTTTTCATATTGCTTATATCGTAGAAAAGCGGTACCGATCAGAGAAAATATCAGACCTTGGTATTTTTTGTACGGTCATGATCGCTGTGCTAGCTTGGTCCGTACTTCCAAGTCGGTYTAACATTTTCGGTTAATTCAGGGATCACGGAAGCACTAGACTTATTTTTTCAAAAATTCACATAACTAATTTTAATTTTAATTTAAAAGGATCGTACCAGGATTCTGGGAAAGAATATACTTAAGCTTTTCAGGGGTAATTTTTTGGCAGTGATTTTGAAGAAAGGTGTATTAAGCTAGTGCTTATAAACGAAAACTGAATGAAGGTGAGCGTAATTAACGCGCTCTCAAAGCAAAGTTGAAATTGAATAGATATTTGGGTCGCCGAACGCCGAACTGCAATCGTCGAACTGCAGACTACATGTAATGTCAATTATTATTTTTGTTTCCAGGCTCTTGTCCCGAGGACGCTCGTGTCGCGATAACAATCAAGAACAATCGACGATGCCGCMGAAAAAAGACTAAGTTTTGCTTCAAAGGCGACTGCAATAGGTGAGTAACTTACTTTAATGCCAGAATTCAAGGTGAGGTAGTGAAATACAGAATGCTTTATCCAACAGATGKCTTGCTTTCCATGTGGGATGAACAATTATCCAAAATGTTCTCTATTGAAGTAAATTGCGCATGCTTAATAGCGACTAGACTCAGCAGTTACCTTGTTCGTCATTTATCTCACTGTAATAAATTAGTGCCGGCGTTTCATAAGTCGTTTACAGCATTCACGTCCTTGTCGTACAAAACGGCCKCTCATGTTGTAAACTAAACGTGTTGTCTTCAGATGCTGTTACTACAAGAGCAGGTGTAATCCTCATCCAAAACTACTCAACAACTTGGGAGCCTGCGAAAAAGGTACAAAATATGCGCGCAATATTTGATAGTTTAACAATTTTTTCGACCATTAATTTTTGCTTCATTAGATGCGACCATGATCTATCACGAATATACTATAGTTCAGTAGCCAATCAGAAAGCTGGAATTGTGATAGCCTATAGTATTTAWACAAGCTTGCTTTGTATGGAAGGTTTATAGAGATCTAATATCTACATTACTAAGCGTTATGGTGAAGATATTTATTTTTGTTTGTTTCCTAGAATTATGCGCCAAAAAAAAGTGTCCGTTTCAAGGTGAGGTGTGTTATTTCAATAAGAAGAAGCAAGCAGTAAGTTGTAAATGCAACAGATCTTGCCGGACTCCTACAAAAAATGATACCGTTTGTGGAACTGACAGGATAACATATCCCAGTCCATGCGAAATGAACTTAACTGCCTGCCAACTTGGAGATTTTATTGGAATTGATTATCGAGGAGAATGCAGAGATAGTAAGTACTGATGCATCATCAGGATACCTTTTTAGTGACTATTATCAAATGAATATTATATGTATTAAATACAACATAAACTACAAGCATCATAACGACATCAGACATGAAAAGCGGTAAGGAATCGACCATAACAGAACTTGAAGCATGAGATTTCCGGGCAATTAAAGAGATTTTATGGAAGATTTAGCACAATTATGGATCCCATAGGAAATGAAAAAAAAAAAAAAACACCAGACTGAACCATCATTACCCTACAGTGCTCGCAGAACCTTTTCCAACAGACTCTCAAAGGCATATTAAATTGTTTTACTTGTAGCATTTCTGTAATTGAATCGCGTTATTTTACAGACAAAGTCACGATTAGTCAAGCGCACGTTGACAGTGTRTCACTGATATCGGGAACCAATGGCAGTGTAGTATGCCATTTTAAAGGACATCCCGTGCAAATYCAGTGGAGCAAACAGGGCTTGGATAGGCTGCCCGAAAATAGAATGCTTCCTTATGACAACATGTTGTACATTAGGCTTGTGCGCAAAGAGGATGCTGGGAAGTATTTTTGTCGTGCCTTCGACGGAGTGTCAACAATAACGGCGACTGTAAATGTGACGATAAAAGGTATGGAAGTCTTACGACGGATACTTCTYGATGTTTTTTGGTTGTTGTATTTCTAGACGCGATATTTGTGCCTTACAYGACTTACGAATTTTGCGTCAGTAGTCACACGCAAGAGAATCAAGACAAGTCGTCCATAAATCTCAGTCATGCCTAATATCTTGCAATTCCTATGACAATTCTGATTTTCCATAGCTTGGCATTCACATTCTTTAAAAAACAATAGGAAAATAAACCAATTTTCAGGAGTAAAGTATAAAAAGCTTTTTAAGTGCCAAGTCCAACTTTCAATTAAATTCCCYTGATAATTCAGTCGATTCATGAAACAATGGCACCATACAAACAGTTATATTTAACTGAAACATRAAGGTCTGCTTACGTCGTCCGCTAGTGAATAAATGAACAATAAATAAACACCGTTTATATGATAAAACAGTTCGCACCCTCACGACTGAATTACGTGATCTTTCAATATACAAAAATAATGTCATTCAAATAAATGTGGTCGTTTTCGAGAATACAGAGTTTTGGCTGCTTTTTGTTCTCCTTCAACATTCATATCTAAMATTTGACAGCGATAACATGYATTCCAATCATTTTTAYGTCATTATCAACGAGGAGATATTGAAAGCAACTGAGAAATCTGATTTTTCGATTTCTTTAGAGCCAGAGCTGGTTACGTCCAAAGCCATCCAGCCTCGTCGAGTCTGCATGCTGGGAAAATCACAAGGTCCTGGTCAAAACTATATAGTGCGCTTCTATTTCAACTTCAAGACTCGTCTTTGTACAGCTTTTGCTTATGGCGGGACTGGTGGCAATGAAAATAACTTTAAAACATTGGAGAGATGTAAAAGAGCTTGCTCTCACTCAGGTTTGTTGTTGTTCTGTTCGTTTTTCGTTTGTTTGTTTTACCGTTTTGCTTTTATCTAAAGATGTGGTATAAGTAATTAAATGTGACTGTAGTCGTTCCAGCAGCATACGTTGTGTATAACGGAGGGCTCGTGTCAAGTTCCCATCGACTTAACTTGGTCTATAAAACACGGGTTTCATCAATTGTTGTTTTCGTACCTATTTCTTTCCAAATCACAAAGAATCAAATCTGGGTCAAGATTTTTCCTTGACAACATCAATAAATCAAAGTTTTCGATGAACGATGACCTCCTTTCACTGTCATGCTAAATACCAAAATGCATTAGGCGAAACACATGCCGCTTAAACACAACGCTTAAAAGRGAACGTTTGGTCATTTTTATGCAATCTCGATAGTTGTTATTTAATATCAATTGTTTGATAGAGTTTCAGAAATGTACATATAATCGGCCATTCCAAGTGAGGTGATCATTTGTCAGTAGGAAACATCATATCTATTTAGAAAAGAATAGCTCACTACAACAACCAACATAAAATTTTTCYTCTGATAGCTACCCCAACTGAGATCTGTCGCCTTGCTAAAAGGCCAGGAAGGTGTAAGCAAAGACTGCCYAAATGGTACTACGACCAACGTAAAGGCAAATGTAAGATGTTTCACTATGGTGGATGTGATGGAAATGCCAACAGATTCGACACCGAGAACGAATGCCTACAAACATGCTCTAGTAAGTTAACTCGCAATAAAACTTTCTTTATAATCTACATYTTTTCCTTTCTCTGATGGACTGACACGACGGTCAGGAAAATCTGTTTATTGTTTGTAATTCCAGAGACGCGTTTTGTTTTGTTGACTKTGTAACAACTTGTATCTCAAAGATGTAATAAATTGATGCAGAATTGCTCAGTGTTACAGGGGTTGCTCGCCATTTGTTTATGTCGCGTCTATCGTTGGTGCAGTTGTACGAAGTAAAGATCATTAATATTCAATTAAAAGGGTTAGAGCTTCGCTTCGTGCAGTATTGACAATTTCTCGTTCATTTCACAGCCAGCGCGTACGTGTATTTGTAAACAAACCACGAATTTTCAGTCTCTAACCCATAATTAAACAACGCATTGCAGCAACTTCTCACAGTGTATCGATCACAACACCAGAAACCTTCACGATATCAGCTTTGAGACTAAAATCCCTTATTCACTGTGCAATCAATGTCAGAGACACGTCAAATACAGCTTTCCTGTCAGCTATCGATGTCTTTCAGCTTTTGTTGTTCTTGTTTGTTAGTATAGTTCGTCTGGCCAAGTTATCTTGACATTTACTTTTATATCACCTTTTTTGGCTTGGTGTTACGTTCTTTTGCAGTGATTGTTCTTTTATATTCCTCTAGATTTGGCCTGCAAACTTCCCAAAGCTGTTGGTAAATGCAAGGCTCACATCGCAAGATGGTTTTTCAATATCAAAACAGGAAAGTGTGAAAAGTTTATGTACACTGGTTGTGATGGGAATTCGAATCAATATCCCTCCAAGAAGCATTGTGAAATGAAGTGCAATCCATGTGAGTAGCWGCCGATTGTTGATATGATAGCGATATTTTGTTGGCAATTACTGCTTCCTAATTTTGACAATCAGTAAATTTTACTTAGAGTCATTTTCATCCGTCTGTGAAATAGGAATT